GTTAATATAACGGTTTTTTACTGAAAAAATGAGCTAAAAATTTCTACTAGCATTTGTATGGGAATTGCCAATAACTTGCCAGTACGGGGCTTGCCTTTAATAGCTCTAGTACCAGTACCGGATTCTGGCGCGAAACTCAAAAACTAGTTTCTTTCGGCTGAGAACACTTAGCAACGCCCTACCGTACCGTAGTTCTCTCATCTGGTCATTACTGTATTTTTCCTCCTGGGAAGGTACCTGGTACGACGATCCTTTGTTTTCAATCTTTGGACGGCCCTGAACTTGTTCTATTACATCTTCCAGCGGTTGCTAGCAGCGCGAAAGAGAGGAATCTCGAAAACCACGTCGTCGGATCGGAAGTTACGGCTTGTACTCCCTTGCTTTGCGTCCTCGTTTCCCTCGCACCAGAAAATTGCAATAGAATACGATGACGACCCATCATCGGCGCCACGCGCAGGTTAACAACCCCTTTGCGAACAAGAGCCGTCGGACGGTCGGATACACGGACCAACGCTACGCGAATCTGCACCACCGGGGGCGGTCCGGAAACTTGTTGAAGCGCCCGGTCTTTGTGCTGTCCATGGTGATGGTGGTGTATTATTTCCTGCTCGGTGGATCCCCCGCGTCGGAGTACGATTCCCATGCGCTGCTAAACAGCCAGGCGAAGAAAGAGACGGCAATGACTACCACTCTGCTGCCAAAGCTCCCCACCACGGCCCACAAGTCCTCCGAGGTACACGACGCCAGTGGCAACCAATACCTGCAACACCAAGAAACCGACAAAAATAGCATGGCAACGGATGCGGAAACGAGTACGGATGCAGACAGTGACCTTGCTAGCTTCAATCAGAAGGGTGGCGGAGATTGGGATATTGATTCGAATTCTGGAGGAGCTCCTCAAACCACGGACGGGTTGGAAGATGCCGGGGCAGACATGTTGGCTGTTCTCAAGGGAATCGGTCGAGGCAGCGATTCCAATGACTCCAAAAACGACGACGAAGCGCAGACCGATAATTTTCCCGATCTCGATTCTGGTGGAGCAGGGCTTGCCGAAGAAAAACACGGCAAGCCGGGCATCGGATACGATGGCGATGGCGATGGCGATGGCGATGGCGATGGCGATCAAGACGAGGGAACCAAAAAGCCGGATAATTCCGCGGCCGAGGGAATGGATGGGGGTTTGGACTCCCAGAACAACGACGACTGGAAAGAGCCGGCCGGCAAGGTGTCGGGCTCGGATTTGGATTCCGGTGCAACTGGAGGTGCGGTAGGTGACATGGTCAGTCCAAACATGGATGAAGCAACAAAGAAGCCAAACCATGACGACCAGGACGAAGCAACAAAGACCCCAGAAGCCAATGCTGAAGACGATGATAACACTGGTGCAACTGGAGATGGGGAAGGTGACACGGTCAGTCCAAAAGTGGACGAAGCAACGAAGACCCCAGAAGCCAA